TTAAGATGCCTGTCACAGGTGCTGGCGAAACGTTAGGAAACAAAACTTCAAGAACACGGTCACACATCCCGGAAGACCCACACCAGCCATCGTATGCCGGCCGTGAAAGCCTTCGACAATACAAGATAGATAGAATTTACAAAACACTAGTGTCAGTTTATCTCTTAAAATGCTTTCAGTTCCTGTCCTGTAGATACATAATACTGCATCTTATGCACTAATCTGAGAACTGTTATAGTAGGAAAGAAAACAATTATGATGATTTAGATAAACTCTAACAGCCAGAAAAATGGTATATTCCTTAGTGTTAAGCTATGTGAGTTTTATTGTTCTGTAAAACATTTATTGAATTATTATTTCATAAATCATGCCAGATGCATCCTATAAATGAAGCTATTAATTCCACAGATGCTAAAATCAAAATGTTCTGGAAATTATGTGATTTATTTTCCATGTCATTCATAAAGAAACAGTTCACTATTTTTCCAGGAGTGAAACACAAATGAAGAGTCATGCATCTGATAAATGTCCAATTAATTTTTGGTTAGTTAACTTTTTCTTTGTATACTAAATCTTTTTTAATATTTGTGTATTGAAGCCTGTAGTACTGGAGAGATAGAAGAAACAAAATGTTCTCATATTTAGTTATCATCAACACTGCAAATATTAACAACAATAAAACCCAAATATTAATAGCAATAAAAAGAATATATTTCTAATGGCTAGCACATAGAAAATTCATGGATGCTGTGTAAAATAATGAAATCATGGTTTTTAAAATATCAGGAATAAAAAAATAATACCTAAAATGCTAGACATTTCATGAATATTGTTTAATAGTTTCATACATCCTAAATGGAATTCCATTTTACCCAAATTAAAACAAATGGAACTTCATAATGTAGAATATATAATGCTTATTTCTGTTTTGTAAAACAGTGAAGATTTTTCCACATTCATTTTTTTTCAATATGTAGGAAATAAATTTACCATGTTGTTCTTAGGCCACCTCCATCATGTTAAAATGAATGCTGGTGACTATTTCTTGTTTGGGTAATCTAATTCATATTTAAAATAGGATAAGGAACAAATATGTGGAAAGAGGAAAAATAATAATAACATATAAAATGCTAACAAATCTATTGGGCAAAAATATTTAGATAAAACTTCTAATCTTAGACCAAACTCAAACCCAGAACAATGGGTGAGTTCTGCTGATTTTCCTTGACATTTCTGTACACCAATCCATTAATAAAAAGTGGATGTTCTCCTCTACTGACCAACCCATGTAGTTAGTTAAGAAAGAAGTTCTTAAATCAGCATGCCAGGTATGGTTCAAGGGATAGTAGAACAAGACATGTGAGGTTTCCTCAATAGCCCCAACCAAGCATGGATATATGTGCTCTTGATATGAAATGTCACTACACCTCCCTAGCAAGGAGATGTCCTCAAGGTTTCTAACAAAAAAAGATGCCTTGTGACGTCTGACAAATATTTATTCCTCTCACAAACCACATTCTACCAACTACTTTTCTCCCAGCATTCACATAAAACTTGTTCATCATTTTTTCCATCTTTAGTAAACATCCCATTTTCAGTAAATGTTATCTGAGGTCCATAAACAATGGAAAACTAAAACAAATAGATGAATATATATAATTTATATAACCTGCAATTATTCACTCCATTTTTTCCTGTTAAGTGAAAGCAAACTACTTTTCTCTTTCACACATTATTTTGTATATTCATGTTCCCTGTTCTGTTGCACTTTCTAACATTTCCAAATGTTCATTCAGGCTTCAGTCAAAAGCATGGCCTCATCTGCATACAAATGTACACATACCTTCATATTCTTAACCAACAAAAATCTGTTGTTGTCCACAAGCATTCCTTATACATTTATCCATAAATAAATTAATCAACCAGGGAGCATCATATATTCCTCTTTTATTACTTTCTCAATGTTGACCGATCTGCTGAACATTCCATTTCTTTTCAAACATGTTTTGCTCCCATCACATTCAGCATCAACCTTCAACTCCATATTTGTCTAACATATTCCACATTCCAAACCCATTTATTCTATCACATGCTTCCTCTAAATCAACAAACATACAACAAACTTTCTTTCTTATAGCCATGCATTTCTTAGTGGTGTGTATGTGTGTGTGTATAGTCTGCATAAAACCACATTGTACTTTCCAAACTTCCCTCATTGTCACTTCTTTGTTGCACTCTTTCAAACACCATCCCACAAACAAATTAACAAATCCCCCATAATTTATGCATTTTCATGCACATTAAACAAATTACACAGCAATCTGAAAGTAAACCTCATCCATATTTTAACATTTATACAGTAGCATCTTTGACATCTACAGCCATACCATAATCTTCTACTCAAGCTAAGCTCACCAGGAAGGCAACTTCTCCCACCATTTTCTGCTACATCAAAAGTGGTTTCTGATTTAAGCTAGCTAGTTCACCTGCTGTGTTTCATTTCTGTGAAGGTAAACACATCTACTTCAACTATCTATTGTGCATTATGGCAGAAAAGTTCCTTCCCTTCCAGTATCAGTCACTGCCCAATGCTTCATGGCCATTTTGTTTTACAGTTTCACCAGTAGAACAATAAAACATGGGGGGGGGGGTTACTAGTTGTTTGACAGAACAGTAAAACAATAGACCAGCCTCCTTTTTTTCTGTTCATTTTTCAACCAGCTGAAATCAACATGAGTTCTATCATCTTTTCCCTTTAGCTCAAATCACAGTGGCCCTTCCCCCTCTTCTTTCTCCTTCTCCTTCTTCCTCCCCCTCCTCCATCCAGGAGAGAGAAAACAGCAGGTAAATCCACCAATCAGGAGCTGTGGTAGTCGAGTGGGTAGATATCTGGCTCTTACTATGACCAAAACAGAGGACGGAGTTGCAATCCAGAAAGGGATTTCTTAAACTGTCTTCAGTTCTAGCCAGTTTTCATATGGGAGGCAAGCAGCTGAAGGCTGTATTGTGGAAAATCCCTATTTTGGCTGGATTTGTATTGTATTGTAAATGGTTTGGTGATGATGGCTTTCTTCTCTTTAGAAAACCAAGTTATCAGGCTTACAGTAAATGGAAACTGCAGGTCAGGTTTGTACAGAAAGAGCTGAATTCGGCACCTATTGTTCTGAGAAACTGCAAAATGTTGATGAAATGTGAAAGGACACATTTTGAAAGAGAAAAGAAAGAGAGAGAAACAGCATATTTTAGTGCTGTATACAGTATTAGTCTGCTCAGGTGGTTAACCCTTCAACTAATATTGGGGAGGGGGGGCAAGGGGTAATCATCTAGACAAATGAAAATTCCAAGAATCTTTATAAAATAAGGTTACTATTTTTGAAAAATTAAGAATTATAAAATAGAATGCTCATAGGTTCTTATGGTAAACTTGATGTACAAATCAGGTGTTCTAAGTGGTTGCATAGGTGCTTTCACTAACTCTACATTATCTCTCAACTGCTTTGGAAGCCAAAAAAACCTATATCAGATAACACAAGGATTAATACCTCTATTCAAAACTGAATCCACTGAGTCCTCAGAGCCTGTCCTCAGAAAATGTGCGTAGGAGTACAGCACCTTTGAGGGGTGTTGTTTCTGGGGGTTTTTTGCGGGGAGGGGTAGTCACAAGGCTAGACATTATGGTTGTGCAAGGATTTGATTTTATTCAAAAGCAATTAAACTGAATCTCCAAATGTTAACAAATTTTCTAAATTGGATAGCTGATTAGATTCCAAATGTTAAATCAAATCAGATGCCCCAGAATTGATTTAATGGTTCAGAAGTGATTTTGCACAAGGACATTTTTTCCTTCAAATGATTGGGATTTTTTAATGCTATTTGAATCATTTAATTGGTGAGCTCAATCAAATCCAATATGAAAGGAGCATGACCAGCTTTGCTATAAATATCTAATGTAGCAAGGCTGAATTCTCAGACTAGAACTTGAACTAAGGAATCACTTAGGGGCATTTATTTTGAATTGGAAACTATTGACGTTCAGCTTCTTTGCAGTAAAAATACAGACTGGTTTATATTACTGAATAGTTTTCATAAGATGCAATCTCAGGCATGTATTCCTTGCTTTGCCAGCCAGCATGAAAAATGAGCAGCAGGGTAGCTATTCTCACTCCTGTTCCTGTTCTTCTCACTGGGGAATCTAGTGCTCTTATCTCTACATAATGTTCCTGTGTCATGCTGATTTCACTATGTTTTTCATACAGGCATCAAGGATAACAGAGATGAATCTATACAGTATCCCAATAGCCCTTACAAACTCTCAAAAGTCTATCCATAATTGTGTGAACCTGTATCAATCAGAACAATACATATACATTCCATTTCTTCTCCTGCCATTTTGTAACGGGTAAGACTGTTCTCCCCAACAGTCTTAATTTATGTTTGGTAATGTTATTAGTTTTTATTACTTTTTTCCCCTTTTCACTCCTGTTTTAATCCTAATAATTATTCTTTGTAAGCTACCTAGATTTGCAAGATAGCCTGTAAGTTGATGAAATAAATACATGAAATTAAAACCAGGATGTGCATTTGTTTGTCTGGTTTTTCAATCACAAGAAAAATTCAAATATCGTCATGACAGGGAAATTATTCATGCATCATAGAAAATCTATCCTAACCTCAAGGAGTGGAATCCTGTTAACATGGTTGCATCAGCTCAATCTGCCATTTAATCAACGTGACATAACACCTTAGTTGCATTCCTGTTTTCCAGAAGAGCTAGCATTAAAGAAGGATTCTGGTGGTGACAACAAAAACTGACTCAAAAGCTGTGAAGTTTCATGATGTAAATAATATTCACATTGGACATATGAAGCTGAGAGCAGTGGACTTCCATTGTGATTGTATGGCTTTTTATTGTACAAGTAGTCCTCACAGTTACAATGGTGATGGAAAAGTAACTTTATGACCAATCCTCTCATTTATGACTTTCACAGGTCTGTAAAGCAAAGAAAAGCTGAAGTAAGATTGTAAGCGTAGTTGCAGTTTCACTTAGTGACCACTTTGCTTAACGACCAAGTTGCCAGTCCCAATTGTAGTCTCTAAATGAGGACTGTTTTCTCTAATGGTGTGTGTTATTTACTTGTAATGCATTTATTTAAAGCATTTTCATTCTATTTCCTTCATCCAGAAAATCAAAAGAAATATAGTAGCATCTTTTCTGACTAACAAATACAATTTGTTAGGCAAAAAAGGTGCCCTCAAACTCCTTCTGATTGTTTTACCATCATGGACCGACACAGTTCTCCTTCTACAACTTCAACCAGAAAGTTTCCCTGAGCAGTTTACTTACAAGGTAGGAAAGAGCCAGTCTATTGTTAGCCAGGACTAACAACCTAAAGAATATATCAAAGACTAATTGGTGGGAAGGCAGATCATAATGGTTATTATATCCTGAGCAGCTGGATACAGCCTAGGGACAGAAGGAGCCTTCTGGAATTAGTCTTCCACTGGACTGATCCCCATTTCCTCCCTCATCTCTTCCTGTGGCCAGATGAAATGGCTGCTTCCAGGGGGCAGTTCAGGACATTGGTAACTGGACTAAACTCAAATATGATTAGGTTCTTTATTTCTGTGCCTTGTTAGGAGTGAAAACCAGTTTGCTGGGAATTCTGATACAGCTTTAAGACCAGTAGCTGAGCACAAAGTATCACTGCCTCATGTGCTATACATGACTCTACGTTTTGCTACTTAAAAAATAGCCCAGTCCTCCTGCAGCTAAAGTTGATCCACAGGATCAGGCCTGTGGAGATGTAATCATAAGGTAGATAAGATGTGAATTACAAATAATATAACTATATTAAAGTTGTGATTTAATGCTGTGAGTAGCTGAAGGCAAATCATTACTAATAAAATATCTGAGTTTTCTTCTGAAATGATTACATTCTGACAGCCAAGCAGAACTCTAACCTTGTTCCACACCTTTCTAACAGAATTTCCAGGCAGACTGACTACAGTAATTTATAGTGCACACAACTGCAACCTTCATCTGTGTGAAAGTATTTGAAGTTTGACAGGGAGGTAAAAAAAATAATATGGCAGTAAGGAAAGACAATTTTATTTTCTCTTATAATGGCAAGAAAAGTTTGAAAGAAAATGTATTATGCATGTAATTCCTTTTCATGATTTTCGCAGACACCACATCCGCATGAAAGTAATCAAAACTTCTAAAACAAATACGTAGAAGAGCATAAGAAGTGCCCTCCTAGACAAGGCCAAAGGCCTATTTTTTCTAGCATTCTCCCCCTGCAGTGGCCAAGCACATACCGTACCTATGGAAGCCCACAAATACGTCATGGTGGCAAGAGCACCTGCAATCATGCTCTTTATATAATACTATTTAAAGGCATATTCTAATATATGGCCATCATTACCAGTAATCATTTATAATTCCAGGATTTGTGTAATCATCTTTCAAAGTACCCATGTTGGTTCGATCATTACCTTAACTGTCTTTTCTGAATTTCCCATCATTCAGCTTTACTGGATGGTGACAGCTTCTAATTTTTAAAACAGATTTTTTTTTTCTTATCCAATAGAGGAAATAGAACTATACATGCAGCTTTTATACATAAATGTGATTATTGAATAAGGAGCTATGATTGATGTAAAATAAATTATACATATATGCTCAAGAGAGAGCAAAAGAATATTTACAGTTTTATGTATTGTCAAAGGCTCTCACGGCCGGCATACGATGGCTGGTGTGAGTCTTCCGGGCTGTGTGGCCATGTTCTGTAAGTTTTGTTTCCTAACGTTTCGCCAGCACCTGTGACCGGCATCTTCAGTGTGCAGGAGCACAGACACCAGCCATTTACAGTTTTCTTCTGAAACTGTTTTGTCTGTATTCTTCCATAGCATCTCAAATCACACAAATCCTGGTAAAGAAAAAGATGTCATCTTACCACTTAGTTTGTGCAATGTGTGTTGAAAATATAGATACAATTGCATTAAATTAAAAAAAAAAGCTATGCTGCAGATGGCCAGCTTTCCATATCCACGTGAAACAATATAAATGGGTGTTTTCAAAGGATGGAGATTGGAATTCCATTTCCCATAATGAAAGGTTGGCCTTTTAAAATCCTATTCCTAATATATTTTTGTAATAAGATTTTGGAGATTTGCAGTTTTTGGGTTTAATTTTATTTAAGTCTAACTTCTTACACAAACATTAACATTTAAAGGATAAATGCATGAGCTGTCTGTTAACATGTTCCAATTGAGGATTTTATTTTGACACTGCTTCATTTCCAGATGTGCAAACAGTATCTCATAGATGAGGCATTATTTAACATTTCTTTTAGGACAGCCTTGAATCACTTACTTAAATTCTTTATTGGTAATTAATGGTCCTTTTATAGACATTTCTGCCATAAATTATCTTAACTGTTTAGTCTTCTATTCTTTGCTAAAAATTATTATTGTGGAACATTATTTTAAACATTACTGCTTGTTCTTTCTACTCTAAATAGAGCCTTTTAGAAAACCATTGGGTTACTTTCTTTTAAAAAAGATTGTATGGACAATTGCTTTTCTCTTAATTGTGCTTTAATTAAGAACTAAAATAATAGGATAATGTATTAGAAAGGAACAATAATAGATCTGTCTGCAGACTGAAGCAAAAGTAATTAAGATGGGTTACATCTTAACATTTGAAACTATCCTAAATTACTTTCAGTTCATAATTAGGACTGAACCAAGGCCTGCCATTCTAAGATACTAAGTGGTGTTACTGATTCACTGTAATGTCTTCTAGGCATATACCTAAATTCAACTATTGCTAGGTGTAGAACAGAAGGCAGGAGAAATCAGCTGTCATCTATTAATAGGTGGTTATAAATTTCTCATAATCTGGCTCCAAATTTATGGTGGTATTCCAAGATCTGTCACTAAAATCCATTTTCACTCCAAATGTTGATGTTTTCTCAATCATTTTATGTATGTTATCCTCATATAGCACATAAGGTACATAATTTCAGAATACCTGATGGAAAACATAAGCAAAACAATGCATTTTAAAGATGGCCATGTTTTTATAACAACGTAAATTGATAGTATAGCTATTTTACATATTGGGTGCTACACTATTTCATTTATATTTTCATGAATAATTTTGAAGTGAAAAATTGTTTCAGTTTGCTACTATTCAGTTATGCCCAACTGAGGAGCACCTATCACTCCCCCCTCCAAAAAAGTCCAAAATTCTACTAGGTTCAGAAGTTAATCTGGTTTTAGAGTGATTAAGGAAGAGAACTGGGCTCCAAGAAACCCCTAACTGCTAATCCTTAATGAAAAGTTTGCTCATTCTATTACCTTGAGCAAAGAAGTGCTATATTAAAATGTTACTTTTGAATGGCATTTTATTAGTAAAATAAATGGCACATAGTAACCCAATGAAAATAAAGTGGTTGGATTTATGCTGAAATAAAACTTGCGTGGACAGGTCGTCAGAATTATTTGGGGTGGGGGGGGGGTAAAATATAGTTGGCAATTTTGTAAAAAGAAAAAAGAAAAGAATATAAAATGCTCTGAGCAGACATAAGATGAAGCTGCTCCCAAATAGAGAGTTTTCTGCCAGAAATCTCCAGAATGGGATACTGGGGAGGTTTCACCAGAAGATTCCACAGAAATATAACTTCATGAGCAAGCCTGATATAAAAAGCTGAAGCTACACATAATTCCTTAATTTGTACAGAGAATTTAAGAAGATTTAGACTCTAGCACATCACAGATACATGAATCAAGAGCCAAGTGCAAATTCTTGACTAGAACATTTTTATTCAAATCCCTTAAAACAGAAGTTCCTCTAGCTTCTAGGAGCTTCTAGGAGTGGAGATATAAGGCTTCCAGCCTTCCATCACAATCATCTACCATAGACCTTCAATAGTATTTTAATGCAACAAAATCATTTGCTCAGATTAAGAAAGTTTTCAATAAATCTCAGTAGGGCAAACAAGCAACAATTCTATAAAGGTACTACACAGTAGCACTTTAAGTTTTATAAGAAGTGTGTATTATATTATCTGTATCTATATCTGCATATTTCTAGTATCTTTTAAAAGAAAATTAAATGTAATTAAAAGTAAGACAAGCAACTATTGAAAGAATAGTACAATCAATGACCTAATTACTTCATGCAAAGTATTTGGTGAAGAAATCAATAAGTCAGTTGGTCCTAATGACATTGTTTTAATTATAAACCAAGTTAGACATGAAGAAACAGAATACAGAGGGATGTGTGAATGAGGAACAATGTCAGCACTGACATTATCAGAACATTTGAAAAACAGACCAGAATGTGAATGCCCTCCAATAAGGAAGACATTACATTAAAATATATTAATAGCATTATGAGTTATTTACTGACCATGATCATGGCAGAGATTAATAGAATTTTACTTGACATCTGGCTATTTATTTCTGTTTTCATCTATCTCTTTTAATCAGACTGGAATCACAAATTGTCCAATTTGGTGTTCTGGGATGACTTACAAGTAAGTAGGCAGTCCAAGCAGTTATGGAATCAGATTTTGATTCAATATATCATGTTGTTGTGCTTTATTAAAATTGCTGCACAATATTACAGTATTGCCAAGAGAACAACATGTGTAGAAAACCTCAGGAAATGCATGAATTCTGCATACCTGGAAATGTTATCATATTCAGTAAGTGTGTTTGTGTTTTTTAAACACAAATGTTTCAAAATGTCTGTCACTATTCCAGCTATTACTGATCAAATTGTTTTCAGCTATTATTCACTATGTAGGTATGTTCTCTTTAATTTATACAGGCAAAAGGGAATCATTCTTCTGTTTAAGTATGCAACCTTCAGCTAAGTATTTTGCAAGCTGGTTAATCTTTGCTAGTTAAAGGTTAAGATGACACAGAGCTTTGCTACTTAAATGTTAATATCTATGTTATCTCAAGAGTAGAAGACTATATCATAGAATTTGGCAGAATGAGGATATCACTGTAACAAGTTCCATAGATTTGAATGTGCAACATATTATATCCTCCCAGCAGCATCTAAAGGGGTGGACACGGGTGCCGTCCGATGAAAGAAGCATCATGTTGTTGCAGCACAACTCCCACCACTTTTATACATGCATTACAAATTGTACGCATGCCCCAAAGAGGCGAAGTTTGCAGTGCAACAATTCAATGCTGCTTTCATCATTCTGACAAAAGCAATAAGATCAATGGGTGCCACTGACCTCCAAAAGTTCAGAGCATCTTGTCACTGAAGGAATACTGGAACTAACAAGGGGAAGGGAAGACAAAATGCATCCTTTAGGCTTATGATATGTTAGCAAAAAGCACAGAATGGATAAACTGTAGACCAGAGGTTCTCAAAGTACGGCCCATGGGCCGGATACGGCCCGCCAGGGTCATTTATCTGGCCCACCCGCCTGATTGGCCACCGCTGCTGTCTGTCAGAAGCAGAAGTGTCGGGCTGTGTCGGGAGCTGCAGGTGATGCATGAAGAGGGAGATCGCAGAGCCGGACTATTCTACATGACAGGGATGCCGCTTCTGGCGGCTCTCCTCCTCTCCTCAAACTATAGTTCAGCCTCCCAACATTCTGAGGGACCATGAACTGGCCCCCTGTTTAAAAAGTTTGAGGACGTCTACTGTAGACAATGTCAATGATCATCTTTTCTTCTGCTGATTTGAAATGCTAAGAATAAAAAAGTGAAAATCAGTGGCCAATCCAAGGTGATTCAGGTCCCCACGCAAACAAACAAACAAATCCCTTATGCCACTTCACAGAAGAAAATTAAAAGGGAGGGGAGAATGCTTGTAATTTGGTGAATTGTATGCTAGCTCCTGTAATGCTTAAAAACGGTGAGAAATTAGCAAAACGTGAGTCAGTTTCACTCTTGCTCTTTTTCTCTGGATTACTAAGTGGGAGCTGCAAAGCCATCAAATCAACTTTTCCCTTACAGAACCTGAAGCTCAACAACTGGAGAGAAGAAAGAACGTGTTCAATGGGGAAACGAAGGCCCAGAGTCTCAAAATAACCCACAAAATCCTAGCTCAATGGTAAGTACATCACAACTGAGGCATAAATAATTCAGCTCTGCTCTCCCACTCTACTTGCTATTTGGGAACACAAACACTCAAAATGCTTTTAGATTTGTACATTGTGATGTGGAATCTTCTTTGATATACCAGCAAACTGTTCATACCCTACTTTTTTCGGACTTTAGGATATGGAGAGGAATGGGAACCCTGGATGTTTCATTTTCTTCTTCCCATATATCATAAAACACAGAAGAATGGAGCCAAAATAATTTGGCTAAGGCTAAGGAACCAGGCTAGAAACTTGGAGACCTGCCTTAGGCACAAAGCCAGCTGGGTGACATTGGGCCAGACACTCTCTTTCAGCCCTAGGAAGGAGGCAATGGCAAACCACTTCCAAAAAATCTAGCCAAGAAAACTGCAGGCCTACTCACCAGGAGTCAATGCTGACTCAAAAGCACACACACACACAAATGGAATAATATTGGTCAGTCTTTCTATCACCAGTAGAGATCCAGCTAATAAACAGAGAAGGCAGGCATACTGTATCATTGATATAAGAGTGTGGACCTAAAGTCACCACTCTCTTTCCAGCATTGAAAAGTAATGTTTTCTGCTACACGCATGCTCAGTAAATTCATAGTTCTGCATGCATAGTTCATGGATACTTCTGAGCCACCCAGAGTTCTTGAGAGTTGGGTAGCGTACACGTTTAATATATTATCATTATGGTTGGTTGCACTGTCAGCCAAATGTTTAGACTGGATTTGGCATTTTTATCCACTTATCAAGTCCTTCCCAAGGACCTGGGATAGGCAGATGTTGCTGTTTGATGGTAAATATATCATTGCAGGATATAAGTTGCTCCAAATAAAGCTGCCTTTTGCAATTGACTGATGGTGATTTTGTCAATACCGATGGTCTTCAAGCAGTGCTCCTAGATATTTTGGGATTTCACCTAAGGCATCTATAACTATTGGTATTATCTTTGCTTTCTTTTGCCATAGTCGTTCTATTTGCAGGTCTTCATATTTTGTGATTTTCTCCAGTTCTTTCTTATCTCTTCTGCTGTCTCCAAGTATTACAATGTCCACTGTCCAGACTTTTTGTCTTTCTTATCAACAACTGTTAAGTCTGGGGTGTTGTGTGGCAGGTGCTTGTCTGTCTGAATTCCAAAGGCCCAGAGCACTTCAGCTTCTTCATTTTCTATTACTTTGTCTGTTTTGTGGTCCCACCAGTTCTTGCTTTCAGGCAAGTGGTATTCCTTGCAGATATTCCAATGTACCATTGTTGCTACTTAGTCATGCCATTGTTTATAGTCAGTCTTCTGGCAGCAGCTAACTAGGTGGTCCACTGTTTCTTCAGCTTCTTTGCAGAGGGGACATTTGCTGTCTGTTGCTGTCTTCTCAGTTCTGGT